GATTTAAGAACAGATTGCTTCTCTTCCTGTCTGCCCGACAACAGAACTTGGTTGGAAGGGGAGCAAAAAAATAAATTTTAGCAGTTGGGTGGTTGGATTTCAACCACTAAACCACAAAAAGCACAAATGTAAAATGTTTCCCAACAACAACCATGAGAACCCCAAAGATTTTTAGCCGCTTGCCCGAAGCCGCAAGCCCACGCCCGGTTCCGCACTCCGCACTCCCAACTTGGTCTCGAGGTGCACTCTTAGAGCTTTGCCTCGGATGCCGAGCGGCCAAGGGAAAAAAACAAAAGGACATCCTTGGGGTGAGTTTAAAGGAGAAAGGACAAAAGGGAACCCAAACCCCACAAAGATGTTGGAGAAAGGGCAGGCAATAAAAAATATTGCTCCCAAGACACATGCGGGCATTGGTCAAATCCAAATCGTACCCCCAGTGAACATCCCAATCCAACCACTAAAATAGGTTCTAAAATGGGTGGTGAATTCACCTACCCCAAAACGGGGTCCCAAAACGGTTTTGACCACCACAGCCATGTTGACACAAGGATGTGCATCCACTTGCAACTCAAGTGGCCCACTTTTGCGCGGGCAGCTTCAAATTCCAGGTCCGCGATCTTTACGACGACGCCGCTCAGCAACGACACCTCCATGACCTCGGGGTCGCGCCCGGGGTTATGGGTGTTTTGCTTAGGATCCGTAAAGATTGGGTGGTTTTCTGTTGGTTTCATATCAAAACCAAGCAACCAGGGGTACCTGGTCCCACTGTAAAACCAAGCAATAAGGGCTACCCTCGAAAAGCACAGACCCACTTATGCACGGGGCCCTACGGGGTGTTAGGGGAGAGAAAATCTAGTGGCTGTTCAATTCTGTGCTGTGAGTGGATGGCTAAAAACAAAAATTGTTGGGCCTGGACTAAATTCATGAAGGTACTTGCCAAACAAGATTCAAGTTTGCCAAAGCAACAGGTCACCATCATATTGTTTTGTGTGTGCGCGCTGTCCTGTGTGCTCTGTTGTTTTGTGTGTGTATGTGTATTATCCTTGTTTCGTTTCTTGATTGTCTGGTTTGCTTGTTGTTGTTTGTGATTGTGTTTGCTGTTGCTTCCAGTCGTCCAGTTGCTTGCCACCGTTTTTGCAGGCAAAGGAGGGGGTCAGCAACGCTTGCAAACTAAGCTTCGAACATCTTGGGTGATTCACTATGCTGGCAACTAGGAGGGGAAGGCTTGATTGTTTTCAACAAACCGGTTCTATTGATAGGGGGTGTTCCCCTCCAAAGGTCATGAATGCCCACTAAAAGGGGACACCCCCTTTACTCCAGGGGGTTCTTCTGGGAGGTTGTCACCAGGGTTCCCATTTGCTAGCCCTAAAGGCGGCAGCTGGCGGGGTCCAGAAAGAGGCCATAATGGCTGTGGCTCAAGAACATGTACCCAAAACGGCCTTTGGCATACGGAACAAAGACTTCAACCTGCGGTTTGCCCCAGCTGTTCAATTTTGCGCCACACCCATATGGTGACAACGCCCCCATTATTGTTTCGCTGGTTCTTCCTCCAATACGTGCTTCTTCTTTCTCGTCTTGAACTGATATGTCCGTCATTATGTAGCAACAGCTGTCAAGTTCTGGTATGGAAGGTATAGTGTAGCATCCACAAACGTATTGTTGTAAGACAACAAAAACACTGCCAACTGCAATGGGCTCTTGCATGGAATGATTGCCAACCACTGTCGATTCTTTCCTGCAATTTCCTGGAATGATTGGTTCCCTGAATTTCCCACTAAAACAACAAACATCAACTAAACTTTGATTGCCAGCCGCACCTTTTCATCGTTTCATGGGACACCAACTGAAACCAGCCATTTTGGGGTCGCCCCATGGCCAGCTTCAGGTGCTCAAGATGCAGTGACTCAGTCGGCATTTTGGTTGCCATGTACCCAGTGCTTCCAGGTGAAAGCCAAGTTTCTAGGGGTACCTCCCCCATTCTTTCCAGGGATCCTTCTTTCTATAAAACCTTCGAGAAAACGACTAGTTTTCAAAAAGAACGATGGTTCAAACAAATGGGGAAACAACCCCTAGAGCTATAAGTTGTAGCCGGGCTGCGAACCAAGGTAGATTCAGGGAGACCCAAGACTAAGGCTTCCAAAAGCTGTCTGAAACAACCCCTAGAATGCTTTTGTGAAGCTGGGGAGGGTTCACCTGCCTCAAGCTAGGGCATTCGGCAAGCACTGGTTCTTGTTCAGCCCTTACCTTTCAGGGTGGGGGTGGGGGGGGGCGGGGGTGTTTTGTTCATGGTATCTAGAAACAACAGTTTGGGACATCCTGGTAACCTACTACGGCTCCCCATACTGTGACGTGAGGGGGGTAACCCTCAGAAACAGGTTGAAAATCCAGTTGGTAGGCCACTAGAATAGCTTGCCGACTGGCTAAAGGGAGCCATGAAACAGTACCCAACAATCCCAGTTGCCCTCAGAGGATTTGCCAAAACAAGTCCAGTCCAAACCGGTTGATTGCAACTAAAACGGTCAATGCAAAAAAACGGGGAGCTCGGGAGTGAGTTCTCACTGATAACCGGGTGTTTCTCCTCTAGGTACAACTCGGGTTTCCTCGTATAGCGGTACATGGCGGTTACGCTCAATGGGATCAAGCGTCGAGCAATTTGGGAGGCTGGAGAGGACAACCACTTTGAGAAGGACGAAGGGAGAGCTGGAGAGTACCCCCCTACCGTCCAACGGTGCGGAGGGGACGCAGAAGCAGGTGGTGACACTTGTCGAAAAGGAGCCTCAGCCAGCCAGCCAGCCCCCCCCACCGCCCTCGACCACTGCTTGTTGGACAGTACCAAGGGGATTCTGGGCATGGTGGAAAGAGCAGTTGTTGGGGAGCAAATCAAACATACTGTCAGTGAAAACGAAATTCTGCACCACCGTTCAGAAGCCCGGAATGGTTCGATTCTTCCGTAGATACCCATAAACCATGGCTTCAACCATGGTTTCAAAGCGGTTGCGTTCCATGGCTTCTGTCCATCAGTAGCAACCCCGGTGTTGCATTCCTTTTGGGAAAGCCGCACAAGTTCTCGGCCGCGAAACACCGCTGGCGAAGTCGACCTCACCAGCCGAGTTGCGCCCTGGTTGAGCGGAAGCTGAAGCTCGAGATAGCTCGAGCCACGAGCTCAAAAGGCGTCCGGCGGGAGGGAGGCAGTGTTCTAGGGGTAACTTCCATTTCCATTCTGAATCCAGGGATCCGGATCTTTCTAGAAAACCACCAACAAAGACAGTGGGGAAATGGCGATCGGTTTTTGAGAAGAAGGATGGCTGAAAATAAAGGAAAAGGAATCAACCCCTAGATCTGTATGTTTCTTGGATCCCAGCCATCCTTTTAGGCTCTGAGGCGTGTTTAGGGTTTAGTGAGAGGACCAACAGTGAAACTTTGGCCGGGGATTTCTTGAACGCCTGGGTTTTTATGGAGATGTTAAGCATGGTCCGTGGCAAATTCCCTCGAACCATTACTCCGGAGAGTTCCTGGAGGACAAATTTCCTCTTGGGACCATTTCCCTGGCAACGTGAGGCCATGGAGAGAAACCAGACATTCATTCTCTGGGCTGTGCTCAAATCCCCTGCTAACAGCTTCACTTTAGTGGGGTAAATGGAAACCCAATCTCTAAACCAACTACAAACCTCAGGAACTGAACGGTTGGGAACCACCAAGTTTAGTTTGGTTTCGTTGATACCAAAACCCATTGGGTTTCAAAAGGAAGGCTCCACTCAAGGGGTTGCGTCACCGGATGAATAAACCGTTTTATTCATCAGGGGGGAGTGTGTTTTCCATCAGTGATGAATCCGACCACGGAAAAGGGCACACACACACACACACCCAATCAAAATCAAGGCGTCCATTTGCTTAAGTCTACTACCAACAAACATAGTTCCAGTAGTGAAAGATACCCTTTAAAACCAAAAGGGGAAAACAAACAACATATTCTTAAGCAAACGTAAGCAGGGGGTATTTATCCGAGTCACTTGCTCAAAACCTGGTACAAAGATGGGTCGTACTCCCAGAAGCAGGTATAGCATGAAGAAGGCGGAGAGCCGCAGCTATTTCTGGCGAGGGGATCGTCCCTTACTACCCTCCAATTACGCGGGTTTTGATTTTTGAGCACGTGGCACAGGTGAGGCTTGGATTCCTCTGATGGGTCTCGTCCTGAGCTTCGGTTCGAGTCTCTGTTCATGTCTCGGGACAAAGGCTCCGTGCTTTCGGGGGCCTCAGGCTTTCGTGTCAAAGCCCATCTATGCAGCACTGGTGGCTGGTTTGTGTTTTCGGGCCTTCGCATGCCGACCACGAGAACTCGTGGTAGACCCTTCAGAGACATGACTTGCATAATTTTTCTTTGTGCATTTCAGCAAGCTCGGCTGTTGCACCCCTAAAAATCATACTTTTTGACTCTGGTTCATGTTTAGTAGACCTTCAGGTCTCCACCAAGCTAAAACACAATCCCGTAAGTAATAGTATCCTATGTCCAGCCACGGATCGACGAGCTATAGTTGCCGGCTCAAAAGATACCACTTGTAGAGGATCCATTTATTCTAGTTTCCAGGGGATTAGAAGTTGGGTCTCTGGGTTTCCACATCTTTACCAGCGGACCGAGTTTCTGCAGTAGGGAACCAGCCGATTTGTCTTTTATTTTTTGAAGGAACGGGATAACTGGCTTTGTTTTCCCCTGAGCTAGGCAACCCTTCCATTTGCTTAAGCCCCCTGGAAACAAAAAGAAAAAAGAAAATGAATAAAACATCCAGTAGTGATGGATTCCGTGTAGAGCCACCAGGGAAAAACAACAACAACTATCTTCGTTTCAGCAAATGGTCGGCGAAACCTTTGGGCAAGAAGAAAACCCCCCCCCCCTCCCCAACCAGCCCCCCCCCTCCCCAACCAGCCCCCCCCCCTCCCCAACCACCCCCCCCCCTCCCCACCCCCCCGCGGGTCGCAAGTTCGTCAGCGCATCAGAAGTCGGCTCCTTCCAAATGCGGCGCGCCGTCTCGTGGCCCCCGAGGTCGTAGGTGCGGAAGCAAATGCCGTTCATGTTCAGCTCCTGCGCGGCTTGCTCCCCTTTCAGATGAAGGGAAGCCGTTGAAGGCTTGGGTTATTGAAAGCGGAAAAAAAACACACACACACACAAAAAAAACAATACAATGGGTTTTTGCGGGTTCCAAACTATTTAGCTCCTGATTTTGGAAAGGCTAAAAAGAAGCACAAGACTTCAGCAACACATGTTTTTTGTCCTTGATGTGTGTGTGTGTGTGCGTGGGTGTGGGTGTATGTGTCTCTTGGTTCTTGTGACCAAACAGAGGAGCACAGCAGCTTTGGGTGTCCTCCGGATGTCCAGGAAAGCAAGGGACGACCCACGAAAGGAGCCAATCCTCCAGATTCCCAGGAATGCCCCCCCCCCCCGCCCCAACAAAAAGAAGACACGGGAACCTCCTAGGACCCTCAGAAGCCTTCCTGAAACACGCAGGTTGTTGAGGTTTCGAGGGCTCAAAGGCTGCAGTTCTGGGAGCATGGTAGAATAAAAGTCTGGTGGGCGTGCCGACCCATGGGACAATCTCTGAGGGTGTTATGTCAAGTATGGGTGCGTCTCAAAATGAGGGACTTCACAAGCTCTGCTCTCTTTTCCTTCTGGCTTCCCATCCCAACGGAGTGGAGCGGGGTTACCGATTTTGATACGCTGTGGCTCAAAATGAAACACGAGGGGCAAACCGCGGGTTTTGGTCCATGTTTCCACGTACCAGGGCAAGCCATGTTGGAATTCCGGCTTTTTGAGCCACGGCCACATGCCCACATGGGTGAGAGGCAGGTCAGGAAGCCTTTCAGAAGCTCACCACAGAATCTGGGAGCTACTAATCTGGGCTGTCCGTTTTCAGATCCCCCGCGAAACGCTTAACTTGTGGGTTAACTGGAAATCCAACCACTAAACACTACAAGGATCTAAAAAGCTCGGGACCCGGACGGAATTGTTCGGCCACCGAGTACTGCAAAACTTCGGAGTGGTACTCTGGGGCAAGCCACCCAAAAATCCGGGCGAGTTAACCCCCCCCCCCCGGACGGGTCTCTGAGGAGGGCAAGGACATGGTCGAAAACCCGGGGGGTTCCGTCGACCATCTGGAGCCCGAGGTTAAAGGTAAAGGAACCTTCGATGGGTGAAAATGCTCTCGGGTGCTTTCTGCTCTGCTAAAAGTTGAGCTTTTAGTGGTTTAATACAGAAAACCCGTTAGTTGGCAAGAAGTTAAAGTCCTAACATCCAAGCAAAATGCGCCAAACTGGCCTTGCCCCAGGGTGCAATACGAGCACCGTGTTGAAAGAGTCGCATGCCACGTGAGATCGCAAGATTGGTTCCTCGTTGTTGGGATAGAGCGTCGGCGCGTTCGTGGACAGTCGGCCGTCCCGAAGCATCTGGAGGAGCGTGGTCTTCCTTGGCAAAGTGATGTGGGTGTCTCCAAACGATGCCCCAGATTCGATGTGACATTTGACTTTGGTATCCTCCATCTGTTGACGGTATGTTGGCCCTCATACCATCCTCTTCCATGCCAAAATATTGACCGTTTCTCACGTCAACCGTATCAATCTAGGGTAATGAAATGTTTGGTGCGGTCCAGGCAACACTTTGGACGAAGCTTGGCACGTGCACTGAAAATGCATCAGTGACACTCGAAAAAAAGCCACCAAAACATATCCAACCAGAAAGGTCTTGTTTGGCTTTACCTTGACGTAGTATGGTGTTCTTTTTTGTCCTTTTCCTTCTTTTTTTTTGGGGGGGCGGGGGGGGGCGGAGCCATTTTGGGGTTCTAAAGGAAAACCACAAGCAAAACCACAATTTTGGAAAGTCCCCTACACAAAAGAATCCCATATGTTCATTTTCTCCTTGACATCCGGGGAGGGTTGTGCAGCTTAGTAAGGTCGAAGAAGATTTGCACCCGGGAAAATTGGTTGGCCCGGGCAAAAGATGATCGAGTAACCAACCGAAGACTCCAGATGAGTCTTGATAGTTACAAATTAGGCTGTTGGCTGTTGGTTGTTGTGTTGGCTGATGGTTGTTGGGTGTTGGCTGTTGGCTGTTCACTGATCCAAGTGATTTGTAGCACTTGTCCAACCTGAAACAACCGACCCTGAGAAAAGGTATCCTCGCAATGCTATGACATCAGAGGCAACCCACAAAACCTTGGTCGAGGCGCCATGTTGCCCGAAGAAAAGCACAAACCGGACTGCTCAGTGGGCACCCTCCTCGCTGATTTCACCCTAGAAAGTTTCCAGCTCCCAGGGCACAAGCCACAACGCTGCCCAAAGGCCATGACTAGAAATGAGCCAGCCAACCTTGGGGGGGGTTGGGGGCAACTGAGACAAACACACACCTTGAACAGGCGGAACATGTAAGATGTGTATAGCCACAAAGGGAAATAGGATCCTGCACCGGAGTTCTAGAATCTGGGCGGAAGAACACCCAAGTAGGTTGGGCAAATCGAATCGCTGGCTTCATCCCCAATGATGGCATACGCTCGGCCCTCGAATTGGTTGAGGTAGCAAACTGATCTGATCGACAAAGGTGCTGAGTATCTTGGAGCTGAGACACCAACCCTACTCCAAATACTCGCTTTGCTTAGTACTCTGAAATATACAGGTTCTCCATAACTCGTACCCTAGTCAAAGTATAGGTAATTATTTTCGGAGTAGGTGGAATGAGATATCCAAGCCGTCCGTCCGGGTAAATTGTGAAAGGCATGCCATTTTTGAGGAATATAGGGTGTGTGCCCTGGCATGCTTGCCGCCAGTGACCCTGGATAAATCCACCTACCGCAGTGACGCGGCCGGCGAGGGAGGAGGGGGGGGCAACTCTCCCCAAAGTTGTCTGGATTCCCTCCTCATTTGTTCAGTGACTATGGGAAAGAAAAAGGGAACCCTTTTGTTGGGGAGACCATTTTAGTGGGGCAGCCACCCAAAGAAAAGTTGGAAAAATAATTGGAGCCACTGAACAACTGAGCCTCTGAATGAGACACTCCGAACAAGGTAGGTGCAATCCAGCTCCTTTCTGCTGCTGATTCACTTGCTCTTGTGGGACATTCCAGCATTTGTATCTGGTTGGATCACTTGGTAGTTGGATCACTTGGTAATGACAGGAACAGAGTGAGATTCAACAAAACTACCCTTGATAGATGGTTCAAAGGAGGTTCCCCCAAACCTGGGCTGCCCTCAGCTCCCCCAAAAAGCTTAACTTGAGGGTTAAATGGACCCCCCCCACTTAACCAACTAAAGACCACTACCAACCTAAGTTGAACCGGATGGAAATTGAAACAACTTGAGGACCCGCACGACTAGTTGAACCACCACAACAGCGTGAGAACCCCTCAAAACGCTGATCACCACTTCACCCAAACGCCCAAAAGGCTGCAACCAGCCCTGGCCGCGGGAGTCAAATAGCGAAGCGCTGAGCTCTTGTGCGGCTGGGCGGCCCAGCATTGTCCAGCCCAAGAAAGCACAGCTTGGCCTTCCTTGGAGTTCCCAACAGGTGTCCAGTCCGTCCAAACTGATCCCCCGCTAAAAGTCTTCGGCGGGTCAACTGGAAAACCCCACTAAACGCGACAAAGCCAAAAAAGTTAAGGAGCCGGATGGCTGGGAGCCGGCAACCATTGAGAAAGCCACGTTTAGAGGGTTTCCATTGGGTCAGCCGAGGCTGCGAACTCCGAGCCCAACACTTTCACCGTCCATCCGGCTTCAGGAAGGGGCTATGGAGGACAAAGATCAGCCATCTTTCATTGTCAGCAATGCTGGTCTCACTTTGGGCGCCCTAAAAGGAAACATTCGCAACCACGTTAGGGCCAATCGTTTTGGTTCGGTTACCGGGTTTTACATGGTTTCCAACTTGGTCCTTGGTTCATCTTGGTTTCCTTGGAAGACAAAACGCCCTCCGACGCGCGCCCAAGGATTCCTGGGCCCTCCGTTGTTTGATCTGCGAAACGGGAAAATAACTTTCAGTGGGTGAAATGGCAAGCCCTCCCAATATTACGACCAGTGCTTCCAGTTGCGAGCAAGGTTTCTTGCTGGTATTTTTTTGCTGGATCCGCCTCGGGAACAAAAATTGCGGCAGGGATGCAAAATTAGGGCTTGTAAACAGCTCTTCAAAGGAAGCCCAGTGCATCCAGTGGCGTTTCGCCACGCCAACAAGATAGGTGGAAGCCCCCCAAAGCCGGAAGAAAACATGTGCGGTCTGGAATCAGGACGCACAGGGGCATTCAGGCTTCCAGTATAGTAGGTTCGGGTTTACATCATGGTTTCCCTTGGTTAACCATGGTTTAGAATGGGGTCATCACGCTCTTGGATGTTCAACCAACGTAGGCAAGCAGGCTATATCCATGGTATATAACCATGGCAACTGGTGCAACTCGGGTGGTCGTCAAGCTGGGAACTGCCCTCTCAAACAGGGGCGCACGTGCACCTTCGTCCCTTGGAACATACCTCTCCAGTAGAGAGGTTCGAAGTCGGTACCCGACGTTTTTTTCTTTTTTGTCTATTTTAGTAGGGGAACCCTCCCCTACAAAAGATTTATGGTAAAAGGGCACCTAGCTGGACCTAGATACTTTTGGAACTGGGCAGGTGGGAGCCGAGACTTGTGATACGCGGCATCAAGCCCGGAGTTTCGATGAAAGGCGCCTTCTGGGCTTCCTCTCCATCCCTTTTGGTTTCCTTTCCGGAAATTAGACCCAGCTGCCAACAGCCAGGGCAGCTGGCAACCTAACCGCCAGGGAATCCACGTCGGAACCAACGGCAGGCGCAAACCCGGAAGCCAGGGACAGGAAAGGACTATTGCTTTACCATTGGAGTCAACCTCCAAGTGCTAGCTCAGTGTTTCCGAGCCATTTTCAGAATTGGCACCTCTCGAGGTGGCAGGTTTAGTGGTAAACCCACGCACATTGCCACTGAGAAAAAAGTGTTTTTTCGTTTGAAGGAGAACTCCGGTGACCCCTCTGAGGGACACGATTGAAACTTCACCAGAGTAAGAACACCCGACTTTGGGCATGACTTCACGCCCCACGAAATATCGGACAAGAGTGCAAAGCAAGAATCGTCTTCTTTTCTTTTTGAAATGCGTTGCGTTCTCACATGTGTGAGGGATTTGTTCCACATTTCTCTCGACCCGACGTGTTCCCAGGAGCAACCCCGCCGCCCAAGCGGTGATTTGCCTTGTTGCCTTCCCTTTACACCCAACAATAAAGGGGTACCCTCGCAAAAGAAAGTCACCATTTGCCCTTAAACCCGAAAACAATATAGGGCACCGAGCCTCAAAAAAGACAAGCGAGCCACTTAGTTGCAGGGCTGTGGGGAATGACCACTTCTGTGATCCAACAGAAAGGGCTTCAAGACGAATTTGATCATAGAAACGGGGATTCCCGATTGCATCACAGAAGTGGTTGGATCAACCCCTTGACCCTTGATCAACCACAACCCCGCTTAGTTGGGCTCCTCCCACGGAAGCCAACTGGATTTCCTTCGCCCGCCCCGGCCCGGCAATCGGCGTCCCAGGCGTGCCAGGTCCGTCCGAGTCGCTTCTGCGCGAGCAGGCCCAGGGACCGGAAGAGATCGGTGACCCAGTTGAAGATGCCGTCGAAGATTTCGAACCTGAGCTTTGCGGAAACAGAGGTTCGAACCCAACAACTTGAGTTACGTGTTTTACTACTATTATTATTGTTATGATTATTATTACTATTATTACTTTTCGTATTAATATGTTTTATTACTATTATATATATAACACGTAAAAAAGAAGGTATATTGTATATGCATGTATGCAACAATTTCTACATATACTTGTATGCATGAGGATAATGCGTATTGGCGTCCCCGTTCAGTGGGTTGTGTGTGGAAAATCCAGACTTTCGGGACTCTTGGAAATTCATTCCGCAGCAGGTTCTTGTTCTTCTTGCTTCTCCCTGGGATCCCAAGTCAATTTGGGTCAGATTTCCTCTTGGGTGGGTTTTTAGGAGGGAACGGGTTCAATCGGGTTACTTGGTTGACGTTGGAAGGGGAGCAACAAATAAAATTTTAGCAGTCGAGTGGAATTTCCCACTAAACCACAATAAGCAAAAATGTAACATGTTTCCCAACAACAACCATGGTTACCAGTGGTTTTTATAGGGATCGGGAAAAGCTTGGAGCAGCCCTGGCGATTCCTCAGCAACGCCCCGGGGATTCCGATCCAAATGTGAGCGGGCTCCCTGCAAAAACCTTCGGAGGTCTGTGGGTGGCCCTCCGGAAAGACTTCTGGGAGCCAAGGCTTGGGTGGTCGATTCGAGCCAACTGGTGGGATTCACCTCGGCTATAACCTACAGCTGGGAAAACTTGGGGGACTTACAAGTATAGATCAAAATCCAGGTTGATAGCCACTAACTTGCCTGAATACCCAT